CCTAGAGGAATTATGTCAACAAGAATGAAAATAAGGCAAAGACTATCTGCATATAATAAAAATTAAAGCAATTTTTTTTAGAGACGGAGTTTTGCTCTTGTTGTCCAGGCTTGAGTGCAATAGCAGGATCTCAGCTAACCACAACCTCTGCCTCCCAGGTTCAAGCGATTCTCCTGGCTCAGCCTCCTGAGTAGCTGGGATTACAGGCATGAACCACCACAGCCAGCTAATTTTGTATTTTTAGTAGAGACAGGGTTTCACCATGTTGGTCAGGCTAGTCTCGAACTCCCGACCTCAGGTGATCTGGTCATCTCAGCATTCCAAAGTGCTGGGATTACAAGAGTGAGCCACCGAGCCTGGCCTAAAGCAATTTTAAGAAAGTGAATTTTGGTACATTTTGAAGAATAATTATATAAAAGACTAGAATGCAATTCCATTTCTAGGAATATATATTATAGAAATACTTCCAAGAGGACAAAATTATATATGTACAAGGCTACTCATTACAGTATTTTTGTAATAGGAAAAGGTTAAAGACCATCTGAACGTCCACCAATAAGGGACAGGTGTCATCCCAGGGATACAGGAATGATTTAACATATCCAAGTCAATAAATGTGATACATCACATAAAAAGAATTAAAGACAAAAACCACACAATCATCTCAATAGATGCAGAAAATGAATTCAACAAAATCCAGCACCCCTTTACGATAAAAACTCTCAACAAACTAAGCACAGAAAGGACCTAACTCAAAATAATAAAAGCCATATACAACAAAGCCAACATCATACTGAATGGGGAAAAGTTGAAAGCATTCCCCCTGAGAACAAGAACAGGACAAGGATGCCCACTTTCACCACTCCTATTCAACGCTGTTTTAGAAGTACTAGCCAGAGCAATTAGTCAAGGGAAAGCAATAAAGGGCATCCAAATTGGAAAAGAGGAAGTCAAACTATGACTGTTTCCAGATGATATGACTGTATACCAAGGAAATCCTAAAGACTCCCACAGACTTTTAGACTTGATAAACGAATTCAGTGAAGTCTCAGGTTAGAAAATCAATGTACACAAATTCGTAGCACTGCTATACATCAACAATGTCCAAGTTGAGATTCAAATAAAGAACTCAATTCCTTTTTTTTTTTTTTCCCAAGACAGAGTTTCGCTCTTGTTGCCCAGGCTGGAGTGCAATGTTATCTCGGCTCACTGCAACCTCTGCCTCCCTGGTTCAAGCGATTTTCCTGCCTCAGCCTCCCGAGTTAGCTGGGATTACAGGCATGTGCCACCACGTCCAGCTCATTTTTTATATTTTTAGTAGAACGGGGTTTCTCCATGTTGGTCAGGCTGGTCTCAAACTCCCAACCTCAGGTGATCTGCCCACCTTGGCCTCCCAAAGTGCTGGGATTACAGGTGTGAACCACCACGCCCGGCCCTCAATTCCTTTCACAACAGCTACAAAAAAAAAAACCAAAAAAAAACCAGAATACCCAGAAATATACTTAACCAAGGAGATGACAGATCTCTACAAGGAGAACTACAAAAGACTGCCAAAAGAAATCACAGACGATACAAACAAATGGAAAGTCATCCCATGCTCATGAATTGGAAGAATCAAATGATCATACTGCCCAAAGCAATCTACAGACTAAATGCAATTCCCATCAAAATACCAACATCATTTTTCACAGAATTAGAACAATCCTAAAATTCTTCCTTTTCCTCCAGACAATCTGGAAACATCACATTACCAGACTTCAAATATACTGCAAGCCTATAGCTACCAGAACAGCATGGTACTGGTATAAAAGTAGGCACATAGACCAATGAAACAGAATAGAGAACCCAGAAATAAAGCCAAATACATACAGCCAACTGCTCTTTAACAAAGCACACAAAAACAAAAATTGGGGAATGGACACCCTATTTAATGAATGGTGCTAGGAAAACTGGCTAGCCACATGAAGAATGAAACTGGATTCCTATCTGTCACCCTATACAAAAATCAACTCAAGTTGATCAAAGACTTAAATATAACGCCTGAAACTATAAAAATTCTACAACACTGGAAAAAGTCTTCTAGACATTGGCCTTGGCAAAGAACTCATTACTAAGACTCCAAAAACAAATGCAACAAAATTAAAAATAAATAAATGGGACCTAATTAAACTAAAAAGCTTCTGCACAGCAAAAGAAATAATCAACGGAGTAACAACCCTCAGAATGGGAGAAAATATCTTCAAACTATGCACCCAACAAAGGACTAATATCCAGAATCTACAAGAACTCAAATTGCAATGAAAAAAAATTACATTAAAAAGTGGGCAAGCCGGGCGCGGTGGCTCAAGCCTGTAATCCCAGCACTTTGGGAGGCCGAGGCAGGTGGATCACGAGGTCAAGAGATCGAGACCATCCTGGTCAACATGGTGAAACCCCGTCTCTACTAAAAATACAAAAAATTAGCTGGGCATGGTGGCGTGTGCCTGTAATCCCAGCTACTGAGGAGGCTGAGGCAGGAGAATTGCCTGAACCCAGGAGGCGGAGGTTGCGGTGAGCCGAGATCGCGCCATTGCACTCCAGCCTGGGTAACAAGAGCGAAACTCCGTCTCAAAAAAAAAAAAACAACAACAAAAAAAAAAATCTCAGAATTTACCACCATAAAATTCATTCATGTAACAAAACACCACTTGTACTCCAAAAGCTATCAAAATTTTATTTTATTTTTTGGAGATAGAGTCTCGCTCTGTCACTCAGTCTGGAGTGTCATGATCTCGGCTCACTACAACCTCGGCTTCCCAGGTTCAAGCAATTCTCCTGCCTCAGCCTCCCAAGTAGCTGGGACTACAGGAGCGCACCACCACAACCAGCTAATTTTTGTATTTTTAGTAGAGACAGGGTATCGCCATGTTGGCCAGGCTGGTCTCAAACTCCTGACCTCAAGTGATCCACCCACTTCAACCTCCCAAAGTGCTGGGATTACGGGTGTGAGCCACTGTGCCCAGCCACTGCTGAAATTTTTAAAAAAAGGAGGGACAGGTGAAATAGATTATGAAGAGCCATACAAGAAAGTGTTAAGGGGTTATTAAAAATGAGTCAGCATTTTTGTTTTCTTTACCCATATATGAAACCATCTCTAACACAAATTAGGTGGAAAAAAAAAAAGCAAAGGGAAAAACTGCATAATCTGCAGCCATATATGTAAAAAATGCACCGATTCTGACCTATAGCATATTTCTGAAAGGACACTCAAGGAAGTAGAAAACAGTGACTGCTTCCTGGATGAAGAGCTGGGACACAACAGAGGAGACTTACTTTTCAATGTACCTTTAGCTCTTTTAGAAATGAGCATATATCATCTATTCAAGAGGCAGATTTTTAAAGTTTTTATAAAAAGCTAAGTAACGCCCAGAGTAACCAGACAAATTTCTTAACTTTGCCCAAGTGATAAATATATACTGGTGAACCAGAACTGCTTTTCTTTTTTTTTTTTTTTTTTTTTACATTTTCTGTTAGCAACCACTTTCAAAAAACTAGAAAATCATTCTTGGTTCTCCAAACCATCTCCACCCAGTGAGTCAGTTAGTAAAAGGGCTGGGTCTCACTGTTTCTCATAGATGGCATGAAGCCCAGGAACCTAAGAGGCAGCTGTTGCAAATTTATGGGGAGAAAAAAAATACACAAAACAAGAAGGATGACTGAAGACAAGCAACAGAGAATACAACTTTGCAAAACCGGTAGGATCATTTAAATCAGTCAGAGATTTGGAGAAAGAAAGTGGAGGCATGGCTAGTCCTCTGCACGGACAGGTAGGTAGCCACCCACCAGTGAGGACTGAAAGGCAGTCCTCATTGAAAAGGACTGAAAGTTTGCAGTGGCCAAAATTATCTCTTCTACCTATTTAGTGCTTGAAACTTTTTCCTTGCCTGGAAGGTAACTCATTACACTCATCAACTAATTCAGACACATTTGGCAGATTAGCTGGCTATCAGCTAGCAAAAATTAGGGCATTTAAGGCAGTCGAAGATAGCCTCATTTCTGTCACTTTAAGGTGGACATCAGCCATCTACCTCTGCATCTTGGTTTCCTTGGGCAGTGTTTGCACAGGATAAGTTAATTTCAACATACATTGGCTGCTGGTTGGGGAACAGGAATCAAATCTGGAATGCTATTCTAGAATAGTTTCCAAGAACTGTAAACAAGAGTCAGCGTACAACCTTGGCCTGGTTCACTAAGCACAGTAAAAATTTCCCAAGTTTCCCTAAATTTGCTGTGTCACCGGAAAGTACAGCCACCACCAACCAGCCAGACGGCTTTTAGCACTGCCCGTGCGTTTCCCTACTCGGCCTCCCGCGAGGCGGCTGGGCCACGCTCCGGCCTCAGCCCCTCCACCTGCTCGAGGGCGGCGCGCCACTGGTCCCTGGGATTTCCGTACGGACCGAAGGGCTTCCAATCTTCCTGCAAGCCGGGCCGGCCGCCTCACCCACGCCACCCCAACACACCCTGGCAGGCAGCCCGGCTCCGAAACGCACACACCGAATCGCAGCCATCCGGGAGGTCCACATGGCCCTGCCGCCGCGTCCCACCAGCTCTGGGACGGCGGCACGCCAAGCAGGTTGGGGGCGAGACGACAGAGGCGGACTAGGAGTTGGGAAGGGGAGGGGGGCGCCGCGCCTCACCTGACCCCAGCAGCAGCGTCACAGCCAAACCTGGTCGTCTGCAAAATGGAGCCGGGGGCGAGCCCAGGGAGGGCGGGGCGTCTCGCGAGCCCGTTAGGATCGCGGCTGCAGCCGGGAACGCCCCCGGAGCCGGAGAGGGCGGCGCCGGAAGTGGGCTGTCCCTGAGCCCCGCCCCTCGGCTCCACCTGGTGGAAAAGACGCTCCCTTTGGGTGGCCCAGCTGATTTTTAATCACATTTCTCTGTCGCAAGGACCCTGAGCCAATCCCTTTTAAGGCTGCTTCAAGTCACCTAGGAAGTTGCAGCACTCCCGGAGGTAGCTGGGGCCCCTTCAGTGGTGGGCGGCAGAGAAGGGCTGAGACTGGGAGACTGTACAGCCTCTTTGCCACTGAAATACCGTCCTCCAGGTATTTTCTGGGAACAAAGACGGCATTTTTTATTAGCCTCCTGTGAAAATAATTAATATTTGTGGGAAATCTTAGTCGGAACTGTAGATGCACTAATCAGAATCACTCCCGAAGGGAGTTGTTAGGTGATTCTAGGCTCCCCTCGTGTGCTAGAGCATTAAACACACATAGTATTAAGTATTTGGGGCAATTACAAGGGATCAGATGAATATCTTAAACTCATTAAGGAGTTCCTATTCTAGAGCAAAAACCAATCAGCTACATTTTAGAGTGAATTAAGGTAGTTTCTGGGTGTAGTCTCCGGAACAGCAGCATCACCTGGAAACGTGTTAGTAATGCAGATTATTGAACTCCACCTTAGACCTACTGAATCAAACTCCTGGGGTGGTGCCCAGCGATCTGTTTTAATAAGCCCTCCAGGGGGTTCTGATGCACACTAAAGTTTGCACACCTGATACACATCAATTTATTTATTCCTCCACACACTTTTCTACCCAAAAGCTTCCTCATGGGGGTGGAATAGAATGGATTACGATTTTAAATGGGAAGAGCAAGCAAAATATACATGGCTTCCAAATAGGGGTGTGGAGAGAAAAGTATTTGAGCCAGATCACTGCCTCATTTAACAATGGTAGACAAAGCTGCACAACTCTTTGGGTGACCAGCATTAATTCCCCGACACCCAACAGTCTGTCTACCTGGCAAATAACAGGACTTTCTGTCCTACCTACCCCAGAGACCTCCAGGATTTAAGCATTCCCTGAGAAGACTTACTATTCTTCATTCTACAGAGTTCCCTTGGTGAGCTTGCCCCAAACCCTCCCTCTGCCTTAATTACCACCATAACAGAATATTTGCCAAACCTCTTATTTCCAGGCCACTTTTCTGAGCTGCAGGAATAGTCCAATAGTCTACCACGATATTTGCCATTTCATCCTTTCAAGTCATGCTTTCTTCCTGGCATAAAAGGCATTCCAGGATCAGAGACCCTTTCCTCATGCTTCCTCTGTCTAGAAAACACTGCTCATCTTTTAACAATTATTCATCTAGGGAGGAGGGGGCCTTTGGGGGGCTGGAAACACCTTGGTCCCACAGAGGAGAAATAGGCCAGGCCAATTCTCCCCCTGTAATTGTCAACACAGATACCGTAGAAGCCCCAGGATATGTGAACATGACCGAGGGGGAGATGGAATATGAGGAGATCACATTGGAAGGGGGTAACTCAGCTCTGGGCTTCAGCATTGCAGGTGGCACTGACAACCCACACATCAGTGGCAATCTGTCCATTTTCATCACCAAGATCATTCCTGGTGGGGCTGCAGCCCAGGATGGCCGCCTCAGGGTCAACGACAGCATCCTGTTTGTAAATGAAGTGGACATGTGTGAGGTGACCCACCCAGCAGCAGTGGAGGCCCTCAAAGAGGCAGGCTCCATTGTTCGCCTCTATGTCATGCGCCGGAAGCCCCCGGCTGAGAAGGTCATGGAGATCAAGCTCATCCAGGAGCCTAAAGGTCTTGGCTTCAGCATCGCGGGGGGCGTAGGGAACCAGCACATCCCAGGAGATAATAGCATCTATGTAACAAAGATCATGAAAGGGGGTGCTGCCCACAAGGATGGGAGGTTGCAGATTGGAGACAAGATCCTGGCGGTCAACAGTGTGGGGTTGGAGGATGTCATGCATGAAGGCGCTGTGGCAGCCCTGAAGAACACGTATGGTGTTGTCTACCTAAAGGTGGCCAAGCCCAGCAATGCCTACCTGAGGGACAGCTATGCTCCCCCAGACATCACAACCTGTGAGAGCCCTTCAAATGCCAAAGCTCCCCATGACCCATACTGTTTAACCCCATGACATGCAGCCCCATGACATCCCTGTAGCTGTCCCTCTTCAGATATTCCCCATGAAATAGCCACAATCGCTGATCCTTGCTGTGGCTGGAGAAGAGATGGAAAAATCAGTTGCCATAAAGGAACTGAGAAGATTGTCAATGATCTCTCCCCCAGAAGGCACAAAGCCCAGGTGGTTTGATGACTAATTTTCTGAAATTCTCAAAAGATAGATAATTTTTCTGCTCTTCCAGAGTACAGGAAAAGATACAAGATTTCACATTTCACTGTATAAGTCCAGTTCAAATGGTCACAAAGATAACATAAAGTAAGGAGAGTATAGACCCATTTTGCTTCTTAATAGAGATGCAAAAGTTTACAATATAGTAGCAAACCAAACATGCCAGCATATTAAGGGAATAACATAGGGTTTGTTTCAGAAAACTAAAGATGGCTCAATATTAAGAAATCTCTTAATATGATTCATATATTAAAAAGTCGGCCAGGCAGAGTGGCTCATGCCTGTAATCCCAGCACTTTGAGAGGCCAAGGGGGGTGGATCATGAGGTCAGGAGATCAAGACTAT